ATAGGCAACATGACAGAGAAAAGACTGAAAACTGCCAGGAACTTCATCTTACTTGATGACCCACAGTGAATATATGAGTGTTTCTCTCTGTAGTCGATCCTCTTTTCCAAGCATGCTGTCCTTGTCCAAAGAATAACCTCTCCTAACAACATGCCCAGAATATTTGAGACGAAGCTTTAACACCTTTGCTTTCAAGGAGCAGCACTCTGGCTGTACCTTCTGTAAGACAACCTGTTTGTTTTTCTGCAAATCCACGGATAATTCAGTACTCTTCTCCAAAGAGCTCAAAGGCATCAATTATTCTTCAGTCACCTCATTCACTGTCCAGTTATCAGGTGCACAAAAAGTGACTTAGAAGATCATGGCCCAAATTTTTGATCTCAAATTGACACTGTTGCTCCTCAATAATCTGGAGAGGTCGTTGTCTACAGACTTTCCCAGTGCAATACATCTCCTGACCTCTTGCCTTACTATACTGCAGCTTTTAAATCACTGAAAAGCCTTTGAGTTTTTTCTTGCTCTAAAACTCAACTGAGCTCATTGCTATTGAGTTGGAGCCAACTCTGACCCTTCAGCAGCTTTTCAGAGGTTGTTAATGGCCCTGTAGGAGATAGCTCATTTTTCTCCTGCAAAGTCACTGGTGGATTTGAACTACCAGAAGAGAGTCATCTTTGGGTTACATGTCTAACTCCCTATCCACCTACAGGGCCACCAGGGCTCCCTTTTCTAAACAAAAGAAAGGCTAAAGAATGATATGAATCTGTTCCAAATAGCCTACAAATGCATATTGAAGAACAAGCCAGTCCAGAGGAATCCAGCCCTAACAGAATTCACTGGTGGCCTAGTGGCAAGAAGCTGCACTGCAATCCCGAAGGATATGTGGTTCAAATACACCAGATGCTCCACTGAAGCTCCTGGGCCGGCTGGATCCGACTCAATGGTACACCACCACCACAACAAACCCACCCAATCCAACTTAGAAATACATCTTGGTCATCGTCGTACATAATCGTTTACATTATATGGGAGATATCACATAACTAATAAAGCTAATGAGAGAAAGAAAAAAACACCCATAGTATGTTCAAAGTGCATAATTCAATGAGAATTTTATAAAAAGAGGAAAAACAGGCCGTAAGTACCAACAAACCCAAAGCAAACCCCTTGTTGTTGATTGTGACTTGCAGTGATGCTCTAGGACAGGGTAGAATGGCCCCGTCCCACTGGATTTCCAAAGCTGTAATCATTATAGACACAGAAAGCTACATTATTCTTGCAAGGAATGGCTGGTGGGCTTGAACCATTCACTTTTTTTGGTTCGCAGTCTAGCACTTTAGCCGCTGCACCACGAGCGCTCTCAATAAGGGTCATTGCCGTCAAGTCAGAACGTACTCGTAAGAGGACACTCCAGACTGTTTATGAAAGCTGTAGACCACATAGGATGAGACTGCCCATCTTTCTCCTACAAAGTAGCTGGTGGATTTGAACTACTTGCCTTTGGGTTGGCAGTACAATTCCTTACCCATTAGGCCCCAGAGTTCAACAACTTGTACCAGAAGAGTAAAAAAACGCTCCACCCCATCCTACACTGATGTTCATAGCAGGGTTATTCACAATAACAAGAACACGGAAACAGCCCAAATGCCCATTAAGAAATGAATGGATTGAGAAACTATGGTATATTCACTCAGTGGAATACTATGCAGCACTCAGGAGCAAAAAATTTGAAAAATACAACAGGGGAGAGGCTAGAGAGCATGCTGCTTAGTGAACTCTCAATCTCAGGACAAATACTGCATAAGATCATTATTGTAAAAATAAAAGAATAAATGTAAAGTGTGTATAAATGTCCAAAGTGCAAAAGAAAGGGAGGTTGGGGTTTGGGGAGGAGGGAAGTCACGAGGTCACAGAGTTTGATGAGTGGAGAGAGAAATGAAGGTATTAAGAAAGATCTAGTGGGATCTGAAAAAGATGGCGCAGTAGTGGGCACAGATCAGTGGTGATTAATTTTTAAGACAATGTATGGAAATGATCGTATCAAACACACTGTGAATGAAGGAATGTGTAAAACATACTGCATGTGAATGAGGAAAAAACTTTTTTCTTTTAATTTTTATTAGTATTTGCGTGTGTGTGCGTACTATCAAATCAAATCTGACTGGTACAGGAGGATTCAAACTGTGCACCTCTGGGACTGCAGTGCAGCTTCTTGCTCACTAAGCCACAAGAGCTCACCAAAGGAAAAAGCTTTTAATGCAAAAAAATAAGTAACAGTAAAATTTTAAAAATCCATTAAGGCGAGCTCTGGTGGCCTAGTGGCAAGAAGCTGCACTGCAGTCCCAGAGGTGGATGGTTCAAATCTACCAGACGCTCTGCTGAAGAAGGACGGACAATCTCCTCCTGTACCAGTCAGATCCAATTTGATGGTACGCACACACAAAATAATAAAAAAATTTTTAAAAAAACCACCCAAACTCAGTAATGTCTTTAATAACTTAATAAATATATTTTCTATCACCAACGACTCTATAGCAGTGATCAGAACATGCATCAAATCAAAATCTTCGCCTGTTTTTAGTAAACAGTTTGGCACATAAATATGCCCATTTGTGACAAAGATCTTATGCAAAGATTAAAATAGTTATCACCTAGGCCTCTGCAGAGCTTGTCAACTCCTACTTATTTCTCTTTCAGAACACTGCCTAAAAAGATTTTACTTTTTGTGTGCACATTTATCTTCTAACCTCCCCCTAGAAAGCAAATTTTATGAAAAAGAGATCTTTTCATGATGTCCATGTTTAGACAGCATTCTGAGCATGTTCTCAATTATATCCTAGTCCCTAAAAAGAGCAGTGCATGGCACCTAGGAAGCATTTAACAAACAATATATGTATGTGAAAGTCAGACAATGAATAAGCAAGAGTGATAAAGAATTAATGCCTCAGAATTGTGGTGCTGGCAAAGAGCATGAAAAAGCATGAACTGCCAAAAGAACAAACAAATCTACTTTGGAGGAAGTGTAACCAGGGTGTTTAACAGAATTAAGGACAACGAAACTTCCCCTCACATACTTGTATACTGTCCAGTCCTTAGAAAAATATATCACGTTCAGAAAAGTCAGTGAAAGAGAAGACCTTCAATGAGATCGATTTACACAGCGATTGCAACAATGGGTTTGAGCACGGCAGACATTGTGGGAATGATGCACAATAGAATAAGGTTTCAAATTGTTCAGAAAGTGATGACTAGTTGACTTGAAGGCATCTAACAACATGTACTTCGAATCCACTAGCTGCTCTCCAGGAGAAAGATGGGCAATCTCCTCCTGTACGATTTGCTCTCTCTGAAAACTCGCTGGAACGTCAGCTATGAGTTGATTCCAACGGAACTTAACTAATTTCCAGAGTCTCACGCCAACAACTCAGGAAGTCAACTAACCCTCCTCTAACCTACCACTAACGTCTCATGGCTCAATCTTAAAAATATATTCCAGATAACTGATCATCTCTCACAACCTACACTTAACACCTCCTGAACCCTTGTTCCCTATAATCTGCTCTCCACAGAGCAGCCAGTAGGATGTTTTAAATATTCATCAGTCATTTCTACTTACAGCTGACCCTCCAGCAGTTTTTTTCAAAGGCTAACTGCACAGGAGGAAATGGCTCATCTTTCTCTTCAGGTGCCACCAGTAGATTAAACTACCTGCCCCAATTGGTAGTGTCACCAGAGCTAAAACCTCACACAATTTGGTCCTGTAGGAGCTCTGGTGGCCTAGTAATAAGATCCCAAAAGCATACAGTTGAAATCCACCAGTTGCTCAGTGAGAAAAAAATGGGCAGTCTCCTCTCATGGAATTTACTTCTGAAAAACTGCTAGATCAGCTATAGGTCGATTCTGACTCAGGGGTACCCAACGACAATTTGGTCCCCTAAACTCTATCTGCCTCTCTTCGCTCACTCCTGACACCCAGGCCTCCACGCACACCCTAAAGAACGCCAAGCAGGTGCTGAATCAGCGCTGTTTCACCGGTGGATGTGGATCACCAGAGCCTTCCAAATCAGGCACTTCCAAGAAGTCACCTACTACTCACAGTTCTGGGAAGCAGGTTAACATTTCCCCCTCTTTACAAACTTATAAAGTGACATTTACAGGTCAATTCTCAGACAACGGAGTTGGGGTTCAATCTTTATTCGTCCGCACAACACGTGAGCTCCAATGAAAAGTTGAAGAAGGGGGGTGGGAACCTTGGTGATGTTCCTCCAAAGTCCAGTGCTTTCAATTGCCAGAGCTGCATGTGGACGGTGAAGGCTGCGAGCACGGGCGGTCAGAGGGCCAAGAGGACAATCAGAAGAGAAGTTACCCACGCCAGGGGTGGAAAGTTTCAAGGAAAAGGAAACAAGGGCTGTGTTGACAAGTGCCAAACGGAACGTGGATTTCCAGAAGCCCAAGAACTAAGTGCACGCCACACCACTCCGTAGACCGTAGTTCTGGGAAGGGAGGAGACATAAGCCCAAGAAGGGCCTCTTCTCCAGCCAAATAGCGTTGGCCACAATGCTCTGCGAGGCACTGCCTCCTGCAAGTGCAGGGAACAGGCAGCAGCTATGCACACGATGAAGCAACTCTCCTACCATATCCAAGTCCCCGAGCAGTGACGCAAAGTCGGTGTGTGCAGTGGGGCCCACGGGCCTGCACCCCTTCAGAAGGCGAAGCCGCGCTCTCCTCCCCGACTCCCCTTTGGGAACGTGAGCCCCGCCGTCCGTAACTCAAGATGCTCTCAAAGCCTCCAGGGCGGCCCCCAGGGCCAGGGACACCGGGGACGGGTGTCAGCTCTCACCCCACAGTCTTCCAGCAACTGTCCGTGTGGGGCCCGTTCCCGCGTCTCTCCACCGAGACGGGGCACCTCAAGCCACAACAGGGTCCTCTCATCCCCACCCCCATCTCGCGCCAGGACAGATCCCGGAGGGGTCCCACCCCCGGGCGCAAAGACCCTGCCTCACCACGGCTCCGGCCACGGCGTGGACCAGGCTCTCGTAGGACAGCACGGAAGCCATGGACGCTGCTCGCCGTGGGTCCGATCGCACGGAGCCCGCAGGTGCTGCAGCTGGCTGAGGAGAACCGAGCGAGCAGCGCCGCGAGCGCCCCAGGCCACACCCCCTCGAGTGCGCCCGCCCCCTACAGGACAACCACTTCCGGGTCGCAGCGTGCACGCCCGCGGGGACTGCCTCCCAGGGGGAGCCACGGGAGCGGGGACAGGAGAGTGCGCGGGGCTGGTCACGACCCTGGGTGTTGATTGGTCCCCACAGCGTCTTGCGGGCGGGACCCAAAGGTGCCACTCAGGTGAGGCGCCAGGGCTCCCAGTGGCCTGACGTGCACTTCAGGTCTGGCTTCCTAGAACTGACTGTGGTGCCCTGGATCCTGGAGTCGGCTAATCGGGCCTCCGATCTACTTAGCAAACTTGGCAAGTCATTTGACCGTAGCTTCCTTTCTGAAATGACAATGTCTGTGCCAACAAACTTTTTAGGATCATAAAAACTAATAAAGTAAAGGACAAATCTTGTATAGGGCCACTGTTGTAAAATGGGACTGACATTGGGGTTGAGGGAAGACAGCGGAGGAGGGGAGGAATGATGTATACTGCATTGAAACAGTAAGAGAACTGTTTAAAAGGGATATGATTAGGTATTATTGTCAAGACAGGAGTCCAGAATGAAGGCTGCACAGTGGAGTGGACTTGGGGGAAGGGACTGCATAACAATGAGTTTTTCTTTTACATTAAAAAAACCCTAATGTAAAAAATAATTTCAATTTTTTTCCATATTGCAAACTGAATACACACACAACATCTAGACTCATTGCTATAGAGTCTAAACCAACTCACAGCTGTCCCTGCAGCAGGCTTGACGTAACTTTGGAGATGGCTTTTTTCCTATACAGCTGTTGGTGGATTTGAACCGGTCCCCTTTAGGTTAGCAGTGCACTTCACAATGAACTAGGCTACCAGGGCACCAAATAGAATTAGTTAAATCACATTGAAACGCTTGCTTTTCGTCAGGTAACAATTCTAATGCCATGTGCTATCAAGTGGAACTGCTCCACAGAATTTGGACTTCAGTAGATTACCACTTGTCCATATATTGTGGCTTCCTAGTACTGTGGATTTAGAAGAGGTCATGGCACTAGAGGCACTATTGCCAATGTCAGATGGATCTTGGCAGAAAGCAGAGTACCAGAGAAATGTCTGTTTCACTGACTATGCAATGGCATTTGACTGTGGATCACAACAAATTGCGGCTAACCTTGAGAAATATGTGAATCCAAGAACACTTGATTATGCTTATGAGAAACCTATACTTCGGTCAGGAAGCAGTCCTCAGAACGTAAGAGCGAAACAATGCATGGTATAAAATCAGGAAAAGGAGTGAGTCAGGGACAATTACAGCCTACTGTATGGCTCCACAATCAACGCGCTAAAACCAGCAGTCAAGAAATCAATAGACAAATTGCACTGCGAAAATCTGCTGTCAGGGACCTCTCCAGAGTGCTGAAAAGGAACGAGGTCAGTCTAGAGACTAAGGTGCACACAATCCATGCCATGGTCTTCGCAGTTATGCATCAGAAAGCTGGACAATGACTAAGGATAGCAGAATTAAGAAGTGATGCCTTCAAATTGTGGTGCTGGAGAAGTCTTGAACATAGCATGGTCCACCAGGAAAACAAATAGGTCTGTCTTGGGGAGGATGAAACCAAGTCTCCTTGGAGGCTAGGATTTTGAAGCTTCATCTCACATTCCTTAGGCACATGGTCAGGAAGAACCAGTCTTTGGATAAGGACATCATGCTCAGAAGGGTGAAGGGACAGCACAGCAGAGGACGCAGGATGAGATGAATTGATACAGTAACTGCACCAAGGGAGGATTGTTGTGTTGGAACTAGCGAGCCTGGCTCAGGATGGGACAGACTTCAGAGCTGCTATACACAGGATCACTACAGGTTGCAGGTGACTCAATGGTACATAACAATTGCTGTGGGACTGATATTTCAAATACCTGGATGGCATCCAACATTAGATAGGTTTCAGCAAAAAGTCCAGACTTAAAAGGACCTGGCCATTATTTCTTTAAAAAATAGCAAACCTTATAAATAGCAGCAAAGCACTGTCTGAGAAGTGTCTTGGAAGATGAGCCTATCAAGTTGGAAAGCACTCAAAATGTAACTTACAAGAGCTGCCCCCTCAAAACAGCCTGAGAGAGAACTTCATGTGCTGATGACGCTCCACTCAATAAGTGAGGCTAAGTGACAGGAATTAAAAACATGCACTAATAATGTTGGAGAATCTAACAGCATAGGTGTTGATGTGTAAATGAGACAGTCTGAAAGTAGCACCTTAACTTTCTTTTAAAAGTCTTAACATGAGTTTGAAATTTTTGGATTCCTAAAGTGCAGTCTCTAATTTGGACCTTTAGTCATAGGCCACACATCTCAAGGACAACATTCTAGTCTCAAAAGGGTTTTGTTACTATAGACAGAGATGTAAAGTGTCTTGATATACACTCATCTAAATTTTTATAATATACCCCAGAAACAGCCATGATTCATGAATACGCAAAATTCAACCCATTGCCATCAACTCCTACCTGACCTTCCACTGGATTTTTAGGGGCTGTAAAACTCACAGGAAGATTGCCAATCTTTCTGCCAAGGAGCAGTGGTGGATTTGAACCATCACTCAAGCACCATCTTTGGGTTAGCAGTGCAACACAAAAAAACAATTGTGGGCCTACTCTGGAATAAACAGAATTGATAGGCACCTATGACTAACTTAAACTCACTAATGTTCTATGGATCTATGTTGTCATGTATAGTTGAGTTCTGACTCACAGCGGATCCCTCTAGCAGGTTTTCAGAAGCATTAATTGCACCGGAGGGGCCTGTCCAGATTACTCTAGTGGAGCAGTTGGTGGGTTCAAACCACTCCTCAGAAGGATGGCCAACTCCTTACCAACTCATCAGAGCTCCCTACAGGCCTGTAACTGTCAAATTCTTGCTCCCAGATCTGCTTTTAAGTGCCTAATGGTTTTGCAAACAAATATGAATTTTGCAGCTGATCAAATGACCCTTATCATTTTGTGGCCTGACGAAACAGCCATTTCATGTCAGGTTCTTTTCTTTCACCCCACATGGATGTGAAAGGCTGAAGAACTCATGAAGTCAGCTGAGATGGAACAATGAATATACTATGAACAGGGAGCTCTGGTGGCCTAAAGCTAAGGAGACGCACTGTCAGTCCAAATGCCACCTTTTCCATAGGAGAAAGATGGCCACCCTCCTCCAGTGCAATTTCCTGCCTCAGGAAACCCGCTGTTCAGACTCAATGACACAGAACATGAGCAAATAGCACACAAAAGATGAATATCCCTGGATGCACTCACAAGTCGTTACAAGTGAGAAATGGGCACTTTGCCTTAGTTTGGACACTATGTTTAAAGTAAAGGGTCAGCAAGAATGAGGCCTAGGAGGTAGGACTTTGGTCAAGGTAATATTCAAACAAAGTAATGTCTGTCAAGACAGCATGTTGTTACATGTTGTCAAATTGACAGTGACTCAGTGACCTTATGAACTGTGGATCTGAGTCTTGCCCTACTAGGAGCCATCCTCAAATCGTCAACAGATTTTATTACAGCTATTCTGTTGGGAAGAGTGTACGCCAGGGATGTGTCTTATCTCCATACCTTTTCAACCTGTATGCAGAGCAGATTATCCGAGAGGCTGGGCTCTATGAGAAGTGTGGTGTCAGGATTGGTGGAAGATCTATTAACAACCTGTGTTATGCAGACGACACAACCCTGCTTGCTGAAACTGAGGAGGACCTCATGCACTTGCTGCAGAGGGTCAAGGACTGCAGCCTTCAGTATGGACTGTCAAGGAAGACAGCCAGGAAATCAGAAAACATATTGCAATGGGTAAGTCAGCTGTTAGGGACCTCTCTAAAGTACTCAAGAGCAAGTGTGTCTCTGAAGACTAAGGTGCATCTGATACAGGCCGTGGTCTTTGCAATCACTTGTTATGCATCAGAGTTGGACAATGACTAGGGAGGATATTAGAATTGATGCCTTTGAGCTGTGGTGCTGGAGAAGAGTATTGAATGTACCAAGGACTGCCAAGAAAAGAGATTCATCCTAGAGAGGGTTAAACCAGGCTACTCCTTGGAAGCAAGGATTCTGGGGCTTCGTCTGACATACTTTTGGACATGTTGTAAGGAGGGTCAGGTCCTTGGAGAGGGACATCATGCTTGGGAGGGTGGAGGGACAGCACAGGAGGGGAAGACCCTCTATGAGGTGGATTGATTCAGTGACTGGGATAATCAGGGTGGGTGTGTTAGAGGCAGTGCGACTGGAACAGGATAGAGCAGGGTTTAGGGCTGTTGTACATAGGGTCACTATGAGTCGCAAGCAACTCAACGGCACATAACAAATAACATTCTGTCAGTCCATCTTGTTATGGGTCTTCCTCTCTCATTGACCCTCTTGTCTCTATGACATGTCCAAAATATGTGAGATGGAGGAACTGTGCAACATTTCAGTTTCATGTAAAGTTCCCATGAGACAGAATAGACACAAGGGCAACCGATAAATCCTTACGGTGTTGTTAGGTGCTACTCATTCAATCCTAACTCAGCAAATTCATGTAAGAGAACAGTCCTATATTTTTGGCAGTAAACTTAATGGGAAAAAAATTGCCTGAGGAGCCACACTGGATGGGTGAAAATTGCCAACTTTCTTAAGAGAGCTCCACAAGTTGAGCTACCAAAGATCCTTAAGTATTTCCATTTTCCTAAATCAGTTCTCCCCAAATCACACACATCAGGGTCCATGAATTTATTTGCTGAAACACATGTATCATTCTATGCTGATGTTGAGATGAATTGTGCAGGTGACACAATCTTGCTCGCCAAAACTGAGGATTTGAAGTGTTTGCTGCAGATCAAGGACTGGTCTTGAAAATGGAGTGATCTTAACATCAATAAAGCAAAGATTCTCATCAACAGGCCGATAGACAGTATCATGATAGATCAAGAGAAGCCTGAAGTTACTTAATCTTGCTCAGATACACAACACTCTTGGAACCAGCAGTCAGATGAATGCCATTGGAGTGCTAAAGAGCAATAGCGTCAGACTACGGACTGAGGACTAGCTCCTCATCTAGGCCATGGTCTTCTAAACTGCTTACTATGCATTGGAGAGCTAGACAATGAATAGGATGACCGAAAAATGGGTGATTTGAAGTTGGGGTTCTGGAAGAGTTCCAGGGACTGACAAGAGATCAAACAGGTCTGTCCTCGAGGCGGAAACCCAGATGCTCTATGGAAGCCAGATTTTCTATTTTTAAGTTTTGTTTTTTTAAATATATTTTTAAAGTATTGTTGCACGTTTTCTTCTTCCCCTTTTCTCCCCTTCCCACAGTTCATCCCACAATGCACCCCTTGTTCCAAATTGTCATCATACATGTAATGCCTAATCATATATTTCTTTTGACCAATTTAGGAGACCAGGATTTTGAAACTCCACCTCATGTACTTTGGGCATGTTGTCCAAAGGGGCCAGTCTTGGGAGCATAGAGGACCAGTGCAGATCACCCTGGATGAGACTGACAGTGACTGTGGCAATAGGATCAGGACTGTCAGAGATGGTGAGACTGGAACAGGACAGGGCAAGCATCAGAGTCGTTCACAGGCTTGCTATGAGCTGTCATTGATTTGAAGGTATGTTAACATCCGCATTCATGTCTTCAGTACAAGGGAGCTAGCCAAAATTGGCCACTGTCACATCTATACTGTGATATGGCACAGTCTTGGATTGGTAAGCAAAAGGTGAGCAGTCAGAATCCACTAGATGACTTCACTGGAAATGGCTAGTTTCTAGATTTAACCTAGGAAACCCGAGGGAAGGTTTCCAAGTACATTGCAGCACTGCTTTTGGTGTTCAAATCTGTTAACAATGCCACAGTCAGAAAATATATTTTTTTTCACAATATGCCTGAGTAAAATACTCTCATATACCGCATGCTTTATTTTTCAGAGCATCATACACGCAATTATGCTAGTCCTCTCCACCTCATTTTCCTGGCTCAAATATTCAGAATCCTGAAAATACATCTTTTCCTAAAAAGCTCATCAAAATGGTTCACCAGAAAGTAATAGAAACTGGTGAATTTTCACATTGCTTGCACTATGAGTTCCACTGAATAACTGCCGATTAACTGCCCTCAGTTATCTCTTTAAAGGTATTTCTCCTCGTGTAAATAGCGCTCAACTATCTGTAGCACCTTGTTTTATGTGTTGTCTAGTCACAACCAACTCACAAATGATCCCCCAGTGGGTTTTCAGAGGCAGTAAATTGAATAGGAGAGAACCACGTCACTACGGAAGGTCAAAAGCAGAGGACATGACACCTGAAGAACGGTTAATGTGGACTGACCCAATAGCAGACTCCAACTATACCAAGCCCAGCGCTGGCATAGGATCAGACAAGGTTTCATTCTGTCATATGGGCACCAGGAGCTGAAGCAGATGTGACTAATCATTTCTTGTTAGAGCTTCGATGATGATATTCCTTACTGTGAGGAGAAACCCATGTTGGCTGTGTACAACAGACTCATGATGCAAGACACTTCATTTATTTAGCCAATCGCTTTACACTCACCTTTCACAGGTGTTCACTTTTTTAAGCAATGATCCATCTCACAAGCAGCAAGCTTTTACAGGGAAGGGAAGCAGTGTTTAAGAGGAAGGATCCATGGAGATGTCAGGTTTCAGTGAAAATTTTTGTACTACAAAAATAAAAATCAGCTATGCTGGCCTGAGCAATTTACTTACCTTAAGAGTCAATGCTTAATGCAAACACCTGTAGAACACCTTTAGGGTGACTAGGCAAAACGGAGTCAATACTGGTCAATCACATCAGTGAAAGGCAAGGAGGTAAGGCCACTTAGCTGATCTACGTATCTATTCAGATGTATTACTTTAAAAAATTAATCTGTAAAAAACTGTTCTGTCTCAAGCCTATTTCTTAGTGTGCCAAACCCTGCTGCTTATCACTCAAAAAATTTTTTCTACACTAATTTGCTGGACAGTGACTACAAAGCTATGGATTATTATTTTGTAGCTTCCCTGCTGCTACGCATGACTGCAACACTTAAAAGCTGACAAATGGGACATGAGAAGTTAACATGAAGCCTTCTTGCCCTTTGTTTCCTCAGACCAGGAGACACTATCAGAGCAAATTTTTTAAATCAATAAATGGAGTCACAGTTGCTGAAAGAAAAATAAAGCTACTAATTTCACTTGGGGAGTTCTGGCACCCTCGTGATAAGTAGCCGCGCTGCAATCTCAAAGGCACGCTGTGCACATTCTCCGAATCCTCATTAAGCTTGGTGGATCAGTCTCACCCAGAGGCACACTGGCAGAAAGGTCCAATGATCTGCTTCTTGGTGACACTCCTGAAAAACTCTCTAAAGTTCAGTTCTGTTCTATACACACAGGGTCAGTGAAGTCAGAACAGAATAAAAAAAAAAATGGGTCTGATACTTGTGAATAGTATTCTACAGTTTTCAGCCTGGTGACATAGTACATAACTTTTCAAGCAGTTCGAATCCACCATCTGCTTGTGAAACAAAGAGCCTCAGAAACAGGTGGAGAACTGCTGAGTCGGAAGCAACGTGACAGCAGTGGTTTAATTTGGGTTTTATATCTAATAACTAGCTTAAGGAAATGACTATCAGTATCAAGATAAAGAAAGAGAACATGCACTGGGGGAAGAAGGGGGATAAAAGTCAATATCCAGTTTTAAATGATACTTTATTTTTAATGTAGCTAGAAATATTCAATAACTATATATATTTTTTTTAAGCAGGGAAAAGGTTTTCTTTTTCATATAGCATTATTAGCACAAAAAATTATAGTGTAGAAATATTGTTGATTTGCTATGAAAATGAAGAACGTACTTTATATCCGTGGAACTTCAAAAGCACAAGACACATTTCGGAAGACCAATTTAACTTTTACCCATTTAGGTAACATGCACAGCGTTGGACCACTCTAGGGTACTTCTATACTTAAGTAAATCAAATAAAGAATTCAAAAGCAACTGGTCTTCTTGAGTTATTCACAGACCACACTGAGAATTTTGATGACACAGAACACATATAAACAAAAAGAACACTGGAAATCTCAAAAGCAAATTTATATGCTGAGCATTTTCAAAGGGCTTAAAAAGCATACTCAGTCAGCAAACAACTCCCTCACACACAACAGATGCATGTCTGCCTGCCTGTGTACAGCAGAGAGTTTACAAATGGAATCAACATCCTTAGTTTTTGAAATTTCAGCAATATATTTCAGAAATGTACTTCACTGTTTATTCCCACTCAGGAGTTAGTGATTCTTCAAACAAGCCAAGTACATATAGGATGTCACTCCTCAAAACTGCTTTTTGAATACCAGCATTTTAAAAGGGAATTTAGATAGAAATCTAATAAAATTTCAGGTACTTAGTGCCTCTGTGTAGGTCTTATTCAACTAAACTGTGCAAGAGAAAACAATGTTTTCTTTTTTTCCCCTTGGAGACTGGAAGACAAAGCAAGCACAGGTGGGACTAGGATCGCAGGATTTAAGGGAAGAGTTAAGTAAGAGAAAAAAAAAAAATACATCTGCGACAGTCAACTCTACAAGAACAACCATGGATCTCATCTAAGAATACATGTGGCGTTAACACCTAGGGTCTCCTCCACATGTAGCAATTCAAACTCTCTCATACTCTCCAAAAAACAAAGATGAACGTTACAAGTGGAATTAAATGGCCTAACAGTACAGTCTAAGAAGACCACATCACCAAAGGGAATTCTTCCTTCCAAAACCTTTTGATATGAAAGGACATCACCAAAGTCTAACACAACTTGTGAAATCTTTTGGCCATGTAAGAAACTATAGTTGTTATGAGTATTACACTAGAGAATAACCATATGTATTGCATATTAAACCCAGAAATGCATGTGCTTGCACAATTATGCCATGAATGATGGCGCCAACAAAGGTGAAAAAGAAACAAAATACAAAATTATCTTTAACCAAATAAGGGCTTAAGGGGAAAAGAACGTGAAAACAAGCAGAAAGCATGGTTATCTTCTGCCTAGAAAAGATGATTTTTGAAATCAGAATATAAGAACAGTTTATTTTCCAGCCATGTAGAAATAATTTGGAACATCCACTTTATACGCTGGACAGGAACAGAGCTCATGAACCCAGTTCTCAGCACCCCAGAAGCCATCCCTTCGCTAGTGTTAGATTTAAGCTCAACTTGCACAGGGAGCTGCTCACGGCGTAGAGAACGTAGGATTGCTGCTGCTCTGTCAAGTACACCCTGTCCCTGCGGAGGTTCTCCAATACTGATGGTCCCGAGTTTCATTACGGAAAGACATTTTTTTCTCAAGAAAATAAAGCATTTAATAATAAGATCAAAATACCTCTCTAACTCCCTATTCAACTCCAACTATGGATTTGAATTAATCTGACTTGTTTCCACCTGGTAACCCTTTACTGCACTCAGATTAGAGTGATCACTCTGTGATATTTATCTTACCCTTACTCAACCAAGTCAAAGGAACAAAAATTAAAATGGTTAGTAAAGAAAAATGAAGGAATTAAAATACCTTTTAATTTGTTTCAGATACTTTTAAGGTTTAAAAAATGTTCAAAGTTTATAATTCCTAATAGGAAAACATCTGAATGAATACCCTAATGGCAAACCACTGTTGAAATGTCTCAGCTGCGTTTGGGATGATCTTCAAAGCACCCAGCTTTCTTGATGGAATCAGAGGTACCCCGGTTTGTATTATTGAGACATCCATTGAGTGATTAGGTTGCTTTTCCATCAGCAAGGGTTTTATTTGTCAAAGGACATTATGCTTGACCTCCAAATTTGGATGACAATTTACTGATGAGATTCATAACCTTGGGATTACTCTGATATTTTGACATATTTGCTGGATTCTGGGCCACATCCTGGAAGGCCACCATAACTTCTGGATCCTGTAAAGGAAAGAATTTTTTCCTTTAGCATTTAAGTCTTTTTTTTACAAAAACATATGTACATTTATTTTCTTTTTTATTTTAATGGAAGTTTACAGAGACTCTGGATTTCCATTCATTCATTGTTATACTTTTAAGTCCTTCTAGTTTAAAGGCTTTCTTATTCTACAGCTCATCTCTTTACTTAGGCCTGTGATTTTTACATGACCAAGATAAATGGGGCTTGGAATCGATAACAAGTATGTGAAGTACATTTCATCCTTTCAATTAGTTAAATATTATTTATACTTTAAAGGTAAGTTCAATCAAGCCACTTAAACTAGACAATCAAATGCAGTAGGTTACACTGGTAACATCCTACGAATCAAATTTTTCTTAAAAGGTTAAGCTACTTTGCATTGGAGGAAAAACTGCAACCACACAACTGGTTATTTGGTAACCAAAAACCAGTTAACTGGAGGAGAGAGCAGTCTTTTGTCTCCACATTGACTTAGGGGAGAAACCACTTAAGGAAATAAAGGCCAATTCCATTCTTCTAAGTCTTACCTGCATGGCTGCAAGAACCTCTGGGTCACTAAGAATCTCATTGAGGCCAGGCATTCCTGCCATTCCAGGCATGGCCCCTCCCATTCCAGGCATTCCTCCTGGAAAATTTCCAGGCATTCCTCCAGGAAAGCCACCTGCAAGAATAAATCAAAGAATTGTACAGACACCAACTACACTCACATGTAGTCAAAATACTACTTCCCCCCCCCCCCAATTAATATTACCTGTATTCAGAGAAGCAAGAATGCCACTACATAAAAAGACCCGGAAACATTCTAAATAGAGCTAGTAAAGCATGAGTTGTAACTTTCAATCTCAGCAAAATAAGGCTGTAAATCAGAACTCTACTAGATTAATTTTTTCCCTACTACTCAAACAGCTGAAAAAGAAAAATTTTACTTAAAAGGAAAAACCCAAACTTACAGTCCTTTAGAATTATAACATTTAAAAATCAAATGCATTATCTTAGATCTTCTTGTTGATTTTAGGGTAACTTAAAATAGAATTTGGCTTGTTACTGTTCTTTACATCTTTATTCCCCCAGTGCAGTTAACCTCTGCCTGAGAACTACCAGTAATGCTTCAAAACCGTGTAGATTATTATCTCTATCCCATTCAGAAATAGAACCTGGAAATGTCAATTTTTAATAAGCACTCTGATAACTTAGTTTCTTCATTAGCATAAACGTGTGTGTCCACTGATGACATTTGGAAATTCTAAATAAGTTAATTAAAGGATGTCCTGCCGTAAAGGTAATTGTGTCCTACAGATCAAAGAACATAAAAAATAAAGAAATCCACAGGCTTGAAATTCCTCCAACCCTTTTAACCACTGCTGCTAGAGGTTGTGGACAAATATGTAGGATCAAGTCCTGACTTTGTAATTGTTCATATACTTCTGGGTTTTGAGGACTCTCTCAGTATGGTACATGAAGACATCAGAGTTTGAAATAATATCTAATAAGGTGTTGTGCTGACAACCTAAAGATAGGCAACTCAAATCCATTAAGTGCCCCACAGGAGAAAGATAGGCCATCTCCTACCATGAGCTCTTACAGCCTTAGAAAACGTACTGATAGGTGAGCTATGTGTCAGTTTGTTAGTAAGATCATATGTATATTTTTTTAAAGATCATATCTTAAACATAATTTTTAGTTATGAGCTACAAACACTTTTCCTCTTTGTTCCCAAATACGAATTAATTACCAATATTTTCTCTTTTATCACCAAACTAGAATTTTATTTACTAGGCACATGACCTTTCACAATAAAAACATTAGCCTCTTGTAAGTTCTAGCTAGAGGCCTATTAGTGATCTGGAGCTGCCTCTATAAATCCTTTAAAAACTTCAGCTATAATTAAACAGCAGCAGACAGCTTATTTCCCACACAAGCACAATCCTTTCATCTCTTCTGGTTTCTCCATAATTTCATACTGCCTTATTCAGAAATATTTAATAATTCTTTTCCAAGTGCTCTTCTCTTTCTCTTCAACTGGCATCTTGGGCTTCTGGTATCAGACACAAATGCAGTTCACCGACATTGGTAGGAAAAGAGTGTATTATTGCCACACTGTATGCAAGACCATTTTAAGTTTAGCAATTCTATCTATCCCATGGACTGTGAAAATAAACTGATATGTTCTGAAAAAAGCCAAAGTGCTCTTTGGAGGCAGAGATGGCAACGCTTCGTCTCTCATATTCTGGGCATGTTGTTAGGAGAAGCTGTTCCTTAGAAGAGGTATCATGCTTGGTTGGGAAGGCGAAGGAGATGAAGATGAGATGGAACCACAGAGTGACCGCAGCAATGAGCTCAAGAGTGTCAGGAATTGTAAGGACTGCACAGGGTCAGACACGTTTCATGTCTGTTGTTCACAGGTTCACTATGAGTCATACCCGCCCAACAGTACCTAACAACAACAACAACAATTAAGTAACAGTAACTCTGGTGGCCTAGTGCTAAGGAATTGTGCTGCCAACACAAAGGTACATTGTTCAACTCCACTACTTGCTCTGTGGAAGAAAGATGGGCAATCTCTCATGTGATTTCCTGCTTCTGAAAACCTGTTGGGAGGGTCAACTATTTTGTTAGGTGTCACTGAGATGAATATACCCACAGCAACCCTAGGAATCTTTTCCTATCCTGTGCCATCTCCATACTTCCTGACACACTAGAGCCCAGTGCAGTAGTCACTCTGTCACTCCATCCGGTTCAGAGTCTTCGCTGATCCTCCCCCCTTTCTGAGCATCATGTCCCTCCTCTTCAAAGAACAGCCCCTCTAGTAACATGCCTGATGTATGTGAGGCAAAGCCTCATCATCTTTGCCTCCAAAGAGTACTCTGGCAGCACCCTTTTCAAGAGACTGTTCTTTAGGCCACCAATGAGATGTCCAAAACTCTTCTCCAGCACCACAGCACAAATGTATCAATTACTCTTCTGTCATACTTATTCACTGTCCAGCTCTCAGATGCATAGCAAGTGATTGGAAAGACCATGGCCTGAATCAGATGCACCTTAGTCCTTCAAACTGGCATGATTACTCCTCAATAATTTTGAGAGGTCCCTAACTACAATCTTTTCCAATGCAATAGATCTCCTGATTTTCTGACTGCTGGTAAAAAGGGTGTTAGTTGTGTATCCAAGTAAGAGGAAGTTGTTGACAGTTTCAATCTTTTCTCCATCCATCACGTTATTGCCTATCAATCCAGTGGTAAGAATCTTTTCTTCTTGACATTGAGCTGCAATCCATATTTAATGCTGTATTTCTTCTTTGATCCTTTGCAACAAATGCTTCAAGTCATCCTCACTTTCAGCAAGCAAGGCTGTGTCATCTGCACAATGCAGGTTACTAATAAGTCTCCCTAAAATTCTGATGCCACACTACTCAGAGTTCAGCTTCTCAGAAAATTTGCTCAGCATACTGATGGAATAAGTCTGGAGAGAGCCCACAACCTGACTTACTCCCTTCTCAATTTTAAACCCTGCTCTGTTCGCACAATAGCTTACTGGTCCAAGAATAGGTTTCACATGAGTACAATTAAATGCTCTTGGATTCCCATTCTTCTCAATGTCAGCCACAACTTGTTATGATCCACAAGTCAAATGCCTTTGCACAGTCAATAAAGACATAGTTAAACAGACATTCTTCTGGTAATCCTTCATTCACCCAACGATTCATCTGACATCAGTAATGATATCCCTGGTGCCGTGGCCTCCTCCAAATCCTGCTTGAACTTCTGGCAGTTCCCTACCTATGTACATAAAACAAATGTATATATACAATCTATGTACTTGTTTGAAGCAGTTGGATTCTGGAAGGAAGGTCATTTTTAATTAATCAGATGTAAGCTATTAGGTCATTTTGATTTCATTAACAATCAGGTTTAAGAATCTCTTGTGGGTAGGCCTTTGTGATTAAAAGTTGGTTGAGGCCTGCCTGAAAGCTGCTTGTTTGAAGCAGTTTGATTCTGAAGGTAAGTCACTTTTACTTAATTAAAAATCAGCTGTAAGCTCTTTGGATGTTAGGAAAATGGAATTGCTACTAGAGTTATAAACTAAATTGTCAGTTTGTTGTGTCTAGAGAGAAGATTGTTCTAATTGGTACAGCACTTGTCAGTTTGCTGTACTGAGATAACTTGTGGATTACTGTGATACTGAAAGCTATGCCACTGCTGTGTTAAATGTTTTAAGGTTTACCCATGGCAGACAGGTTTTAGTAGAGGTCCCAGATTAAGATATAGGAGGAAGCAGGACTGGCCATCCACTTCTTAAATAACAGGCCTCTGAAAACCCTATGAACAGTAGAGGAACACCAACAGTTATACCGGTAGTGGTAGTAGAGCCCAGATTGGAAGTCAGTTGAAATGAGGAGGCAAATATTGTTTAATAATTGGAACTCAACAGTACTTTACAACAACTTCACACAGTATCTGGATGGACATCAACATATACAATAATTCCATTATGGAAATTTAGAAGTATTTGTTTTTTAAAAACTAAAATGCCCAACCTCAGTATATATTGACTATACTAATTCCTTGGAAGCAGGAGTGGCATCTACTTCCTGAACAACATTCCTCCGGAAACTCTTATGAACTTTGATAAATGTTGGTAGTTGTAGAGGGGCTTTAGGTCCTTATGAGCCGTGCTCGACTGAAGGCAATCAACAATAATAACATACTAACTGTAGAGCAGGCCACAATATAGGGTAACATTCACTCCTTGCTGCTGCTGCTTCTTGGAGTATAGAAACCTGTAAAACCACGAAGTATTTTTATCTTTTTCAACTGAAAGAGAGTGGACTCAGTGCAGATGGAGGCCAGGAGGAGAGCCAAAGAAATAGGATTATACGAAAATGCCTTCTTTAAGTCTTAAATGATACTTGTCAATTGACATATAATTGAATTGCACCTTTCCTGTCTTTAGATATATCAACAAGCTTAGGAATAGATCATTTACTATACTTGTACTAGTGTGGAATTTTAAGTTTCTCAAAAACTGTGTTAAGACATTTGAATAAAACTGGCCTCTCCTCTCTATTTCCTTTCAAGGAAGGTCAGTCCCTTTGGGGATGTAACTTTCTTAATAAATCTACCTTTATTCTTTTAACCTCAAAAATACCCCAAAACCCAAACAACAACAAAACAACCCTTTATTACTTCTACCGCCCCTACAAACAAATATATAAACTACTCAAATTATGATGGGGGAAAATTCACCACTGTATTTTTATCATTGAAACATGCTACAAGAACCAATTATTTACAGATTTCAGGAGCCCTGGTGGCACAGTGAGTTAAATGTTGGATTTCCAAGAGGAGACTGAGAGTGGAACCCAGAAGCACCTCCCTAAACACAGATGAGGCAGTCTGGTCACAGTAATATTTATAGCCTGGGAAGCTCAAGGGGCTACAGAGTCATGACTCAAAATTGACTTGTCAGAATTGAGTTTGGTGATTCTGATTTTTGTTTTTATTAACAGAACTTTTTCAAAACATACCTGGAAAAGCACCATATTGCGCTCCTGACTGTCGCCTGGCTTCTTCCTCCTAGAACACAAAAAATTAATACAGAGCAGAAAATCAGAACTCGTGTCATCACTCTAACCACATCCAATACAAAACCATATGCAGCCTAGAGAATAAGCCAGAGGACCTACAAGAACGACTAACATCTGATGGCAATGAGAACCTAGGAGGTACTCTACGTCTCCTCCCCTCAAAAAAAGAGACAAAACAAAAAGTTTAGCAACTAGATTAAAAATAACAATTTTTTAAATTATTTGAAACAGAAGTTCCATCTATTGTGTGTGTATGCTGGGAATACATATAGTAGTGAGAGCACTTACTTAAATTCTTTTTCTCATCGTCTCTGGTTGCATACATTACTTTTCAGTTTCCAACATCAAATATAATCCTCCCAATTTTTAACCAAGATGATGAAATATTTTGAATAATTTTAAATATTTATCTATTTCCAAGTTTACAAAAAACTCTTAAAGGGTTTCGAACTTCTAAATGAAATGTTGTATTATCTAAATATAGCAGACACAAAGTACGAAATGTTTTAGAATTTAACCATAAGAAATCACTCTCAGGTAAGTAACTGGCTGGCCCCAGGGCCTTGAACAGTCTTGGGGACATCAAGGCTGATGAGGCCTAATAATCCACAAAGACTGTTCTACTTGGTGAACAGTAGCTAGGGTCTTGTGAGCCAAGATTCAAATCGAAGGAGCAACTCTCAGAATCTCCTTGTCCAGAACAAAAAGGGAAGAATGACAAAAATAATGAGCCACTCCAATCTCAATCACCCTGACCACAAGTCCTCGGAGCGTTATCCCCGGGGAAATTCCGCTCCTGACTCTATTTGGTTGGTTATGCTAAGAGATGAGTGCCTTCCTTGGATTATGGTCACCTTAAAGGCCTGTCATGGGAGTCAGTTTCATTCCAGGTTCGAAAGATGTGTAGGAGCCATAGTTTTGAGGGTTCTACCAATTTCAACAGGAATAGAAAGCCATTTTTATGTTTAGTTTTGTTCCACATTTCCATCTACTCTTATCAAGGAACTCCTATTTTGATCCCTCTTTTGGAGTGGTCAGTGGTTCTTCTGGCTTTGTGATCACAAAAGCTGAGGTTTGAGTCGCTCATTACACTGGACTGTTTTAGTGTATTTTGTTATTTTCTTCCCTCTTCTTTGTGTATTTTTTTTTCCATTTTCTTCCCTCTCTTTGCCAAGAATTGCATCTTATATTGTTAAAGGTAGCAATACTTGTAAAAATTTCTGATACTCAAGAGCACAAAAAAATTGGCTGTGAAACCTAAGCAAGAAGAAAAAGACAAAAATAGCCGACCCCACCACACCCACCAACTGGAGATAATGGAAAGACAAAAAGTGTTCTTTAACACGTTGCCGCAAATGATGGCAAAATGTGTTTCTAAGCATGGCCATCAATTTAAAAGTGTGTGGCAATATGTTAAATAGTAATATTATCCTATGGAAAACCCATTAGTAGCTCTGCGGGAAGATGATGTCTCAGTCAACCTCTATTAGACTACAGCCTTGGAAAAGATGTAGCCAACAGTTCTGCTGTGGTCGAGAGGGTCACCATGAGCTTGACTTCACTCTACAGCAAGATGTTTTGTGTTATCAGAACTGCAGCTGCACTATAGGAGCGAATCCGATGCCTTCCCATGCTCGCTTAAATACAAAAACTTACCCTCTGGGCACGTTCATGTTCTTCCCGAGCCTTCTTAACTCTCTCTATCCTCTCTTTGATCTCTCGCTCTTCACGTTTTCTTTCATACTTTCTCCGATGTTCTGCAATTTTCTGGGCCTGGAGGCAAAGGTGATAGAAAAAGTCAGTCTTCACCAAGGGCTGAATGAAGTCAGCACAAATTAAGTTTTACTTAGATTTACCAATTTTGTGGAGAAATGTTTAATTCTGTACAGTTCTAAATAATAAAATGAGAACTGTCTTAGAAAAAAGAAACTTAAATCATTCAGGCTTTCATTAAGATCAATCTTAATGCAATACTGTGAAACAGAATGGTTATATTTTCACTAGCTCAAAGATGAAAATTAATTTTCAACTAGCATGAAATAGCTTTCAAATAGCATGAAATTCTTGCCTAGTAGATTTTACCAGTTGTAAAGTATTAAGGATTCAGAATTTACAGCTGAGTTTAGTATAAAAATGTTATGTCTGTTTGTCTAAAAGTCATGGGAAAGCAGGGACTGGAGCACATTGACCAGATGCCTGCCATAGTCTAACCACCATTGTTTCCACATCCATCAAGAAGCATGCTGGGAGCAGAAACTCTCATAGTATCACTACAGGGATTTTAAAAAAGAAAGGAAAAAAAGTAATACCACACATTAGCAATACATACTCAATAACCAAATGCTTTACAACTACTATTTACTCAGAAAATAAAGTTAGAGATTCAGATTCCCTCTTCTGACTCGACAGTACACAACAACACAGTGTGATTATATTTTGAAGAAACCTCATGTTCTGGAATAAAATACCTCACAACAGTTTTGCTAAAGGAATCACACTGTTTGAGTAGAGAGAAAAAAAAATTAAATTTACATTCCGGCTGATAAATAAATTCAATATACACTACCTTACTCTAGAAAAAATACTTTCCACTACCATATACTAGAAAAAATTTAAATTTCTCTACAAAGCTTAAGGATCCACTGGTTAAATAAATTAAAATTATTTTCAATCCTTTCAAATAGAAATGATCTTAAAAACAGAACAATCTTAGCTTGTGCCTCAGTATGATCATTTGCAGAAAGGATGAAACATCCCACAGACCCCTTGAGACTTAAGGACGTCCTTAGGTCTTAAGGCAGACCTGCCAAGTCCTCAATCCTATGTTACAGATTTTCTATTTGATTCCCTCTACAAGCATGACAACTACCTTTTCCCCTACTGATTTTTTTCCTAGTCACAGGTTTACAAAGTAATAGTGGGTCCTGGAAAACAATGTGAGAAACCAGTGGAGGAAAGCCTGGTGAGATCTGCAAGTTGAGCACAAGGCCTCACAACGAGCGATCACAAGTACATCACTTGCGTACATCTGTGTCCTTTCACGTGACTGCGAGGTTGGCTGGGTTGAGCCTGGCCTAACAGCTGAAATCACTTTGTCTCTAAGCTAACATACCCGTGGTTGAACTTCTTTCAGCATGGCACTAGCATCTTCATCATAGTCCAGTTTACAAGCAAGGGCAAGATCATGTGCTGCTTCTTCCCAATGACCCAGAAGTCTGAAAAGAGTTAAACTTACTTTAAGAGCTTTGTATGCATAGTTTACCTAAGTTCTCTCGTGATTTTCTTCCTTATACAAAAGGATCGTTCAAGTCATATTTTCACACACCAATTGAATTACACAAAAACTTAAAAAATGTAAGGCTACTATTATACTAAATATCTAAAACTTATTATTTAAAACATGCTTTATTCCAAAGACTATAAAACCTGTGAAAGCCCAGGACCTGTGTAAGTCATCTGTTTAAAAAGGAATTCAAGTCTTTTTCCACTGATAACAAAGTAGTAAAAGGCAGAAAACTTGCAAGATGGAGAAAAATAAGGCAGTCCCATCAAGCTTTCATTGTTGTTGTTGTTGTTATGTGCCCTTGAGTCGCCTGCAACTCATAGCGACCCTATGTACAACAGCCCTAAACTCTGATCTGTCCTGTGCCAATCGCACCATCTCCGACACTCCCATCCCAATTATCCCAGTCACTGAATCAATCCACCTCATAGAGGGCCTTCCTCTCCTGCGCTGTCCCTCCACCCTCCCAAGCATGATGTCCTTCTCCAAGGACCGGTCTCTCCTCACAACATGTCCAAAGTATGTTAGATGGAGCCTCAGAATCCTTGCCTCCAAGGAGCCACCTGGTTTAACCCTTTTCAGGACAAATCTGTTTGTTTTCCTAGCAGTCCATGGTATTCTCAATACTCTTCTCCAGCACCACAGCTCAAAGGCATCAATTCTCCTTCTATCCTCCTTGGTCACTGTCCAACTCTCTGATGCATAAAACAAGTCATTGGGAAGACCAAAGCCTGTATCAGACGTACCTTAGTCTCCAGAGAGACACCATTGCTCTTCAGTACTTTGGAGCGGTCGCTAACAGCAGACTTTCCCATGGCAATGCGCCTTTTAATTTCCTGGCTGCTGGTGCCAAGACTGTTGACTATGGAGCCAAGCAAACTAAAGCTATGTACAATCTCAATCTCTTCACCATCCATCCTGATGCTGCCAATTGGTCCAGTGGTGAGAATCTTTGTCTTCTTGACATTGAGCCTCAATCCATATTGTAGGCTGCAGTCCTTGACACTCTGCAGCAGGCGCTTCAGGTCCTCTTCAGTCTCAGCAAGCAGGGTTGTGTCATCCACGTAACGCAGGTTGTTGATAAATCGCCCACCAAACTTGACCCCACATTTCTCCTCATATAGAGCCCTGCCTCCCAGATAATCTGTTCTGCATATAGGTTGAAAAGGTTATGGAGATAGGATGCATCCCTGGCGTACGCCCTTCCCAAAGTGTTCCCTTGCTCTGTTCTGACGACTGCCTCCTGGTCCAAGTATAAGTTTTGCATTAGAACGATCAAGTGTTCTGGAATTCCCATTCTTCTCAGAGTCAGCCATAGTTTGTTATGATCTACACAGTCAAATGGCTTTGCATAGTCAGTGAAACACAGATAGACATTCCTCTGGTATTCCCTGTTTTCAGCCAAGATCCATCTAACATCAGCTACAATATCTCTAGTACCACGACCCCTTCTAAACCCAGCCTGGACTTCTGGTAGTTCTCTGTTCCAGTCGTTTTTGGATAATCGTCAGTAAAATCTTGCTTGCGTGTGAAATCAGTGAGATTGTTCTGTAGTTTTCACATTCTGTTGGGTCACCTTTCTTTGGGATAGGAACAAATATAGATCTCTTCCATTGTAGGATGGAAAAAACAACAGACTGGAGTACGTAGATCCTTAATTTTCACCTCATCAAAAGCAGAATTCTCCGGATGGCTATTTAGCATACTACCATTTCCAGAAGACAAAAGGAGAAACACACACATGTGACACTTTGTTGATAAATTTAAAAATGAAAAAGACACAGAAAAGAAAGGCAAATCTGAAGGTACTATTTGATGGGGATATGTAAAAACAGGGTAGAAGAGAGAACAGCAGTGGAAGTGAAACTTCTCTGGGCATATCTCTTTATCCAATTTGAGTATTAAAAAAATGTAAATGTGTAAATATCTCACAAACATAAAAAAGAAAAAAAATAAGAAAGAATGCCAATAATAAAATCCAGAACTGAATACAAATAAAAGGACCTAACAATGAAAGAATTGTTTTTCAAAAAGAAAAGCAAACTGGGGGGAATGGGCGGGCAAGGAGGAAAATGCACAACAATGTATGAATGGAAATCCATGTTCTCTAAACTTAAAAAAAAAGTCAAACACCCAAATAAAAGGACCTAATGATATTATCATACTGCTAGGAAAAAAAAGAATTCTATGACCATACACTAAGTGAAATACATTTTATGAGAAAAGAAAAATCCTCAAATTTCAAAACAAACCAAGCTTGAACCCTACTAAAATTATTTACTTAACACAGAAGCAAATAGTTTTACTTTGAGAAAAAAAATTTCTTTAAAAATAATTGCAAGTTTTAACGGAACATATCCATATAAATGTAGTAACACCCCAGAAGCAATGAATATATATGGGTGCAAATTTCTATTTCCATACAGCACCCCAAGAAAAAGGATTTAAAAAAAATATGACCTCATTTCAAGTTGTACAACATGATTTAATACTATCTTGTATCAGAAGACGAAAGAAATTATCAAAGATCAACTGGGAAGGGGAGCTCTGGTGGCCTAGTGGCAAGAAGCTGCACTGCAATCCCAGAGGAACACGGTTCGAATCCACCAGACGCTCTGCCGGAGAAGGAGGCGCAATATCCTCCTGTACCAGTCAGATCTGATTTGACGGTACAAGCACACAAAATAAAAAAATTAAAAAAAAAAAAAGATCAACTGGGTATCAAAGGATGAACAACAGTATATGTTAATTTTACTATCCCACATGTTGTGTTGTCGTTGGTTGCCTTAGAATCGAATATGACTCACAGTGACCCTATGTACAAAAGGTCTGAAGTTATCAACATTAATCAAAGTTCATAGAGGTTCCAGAGGCATGTTGTTTAGAAAGTGATTGCCACTCCTGCTTCTCACATGAATATACTTTATTCTGGCTTCTTATCTGTGATGTGAAATAGGTCTTCATGAGAACAAGATATATATGAAATAATTTGTCTCAAGCATTTCCATCCACATTTGAGGTATAGAAATCATCTTTTAAATTCATGTGGTCAATTTATCCTAAGTGTTAAGTTTTCTCTAGCATATGACAATCCTATTTAACAACAGACAGAAAGCCCTATCCAGAAAGCTCTAAAGAATGATTACTAACTTGGGTTATAGATATGTTGTTGTTGTTATGTGCCGTCAAGTCGCTTGCAACTCATAGCGATCCTATGTACACAAGCCCTAAACCCTGCTCTATCCTGTGCCAATCACACTGCCTCTGATACACCCATCCCGATTACCCCAGTCACTGAATCAATCCACCTCATAGAGGGTCCTCCCCTCTAGCGCCATCCCTCCACCCTCCCAAGCATGATGTCCCTCTTCAAGGACCTCCCCTTATAACATGTCCAAAGTATGTCAGATGAAGCCCCAGAAGCCTTGCTTCCAAGGAGCAGCCTGGTCTAACCCCCTCCAGGATGAATCTGTTTGTTTTCTTGGCAGTCCATGATACATTCAATACTCTTCTCCAGCACCACAGCTCAAAGGCATCAATTCTCCTTCTAGCATCTCTCAGAGAAGCTGGTCGATTTGAACCATTAGGGAGTTCTGGTGTGGCCTAGTGGTAAGAATCTGCGCTATAATCTCTAAGGCATGCAGTAAGGATCTAGCAGCTGCTCTGCGAGAGAACGATGAGCAGTCTCCTGTATAATTACTGCCTCTGAAAACCTACTGGAGGGTCAGGTATGGGTTGGAACGGACTTGATGGCACACAAGAAAGAATACAACAAAACAACCTTTGTGTTGGCAATACAATTCCTTACCACTGAGCCACCAGAGCTTCTAGTACTGATAATCCTTGGAGTCCTGTCTCCTTCACTGTCAGCTATTCTCACTCTGGTTACACATGCATGTGTCCATATGCTGTTCTTTATATAACTTGGAAGTGATTAGGTTTAGGATCCACCCAACACTGGCATAACCTTAACTTGTGGTTATATGACATTCAGTTGCATTAAGGGAGTAAATTCCATTGCAGTAGATTAGATTCCACCCATAGTTACAAGGATTAGGATTTCAACACTTTGTTTTCAGGGGAACACAGTTCAATCTATAACACTCACCTTCTCTGTCCCTGACCCCTGAACTCAAGGGACAATATACTACTATTAGATTAAATGCTCAGCAATTTTAAATAAAGCATAATAAAGTATCAAACTGAAATGTGAAAAAGAGTTCCAAACCAATAAAACGTCATTATTTACCTGTGTGCTTTCCCACGCCACTTATATGGCTGAGCTGAATCGGGATTAATTTCAATGGCTCTGTCACAGTCTCGAATGGCAGCATTTGGCTTCTGTAATTTGATGAAGACACTGAAAAATAAGAGTGATATTAAAAAATACTCACCTCAAACAAAAACATCTTTGGGATCTCCACAGAATTAAATTAATTAAAGGAACAAGCAGAAATGATTCACCAGGGGTGGTTTGACACTTAGCATCCTCACCTGGCTCTCTTGGCATACAGAATGGCTAAGCGAGGATTCAGTTTGATGGCATCTGTGAATAAGTCAATGGCTTTCTGCAGCTCACCTAAAATAAAACAAAATGTTACTGAGAAATACTCAGAAGATAAAATAAAGAAAAAAAAACCACATAAAAACCTCCCACATTTAAAAATTCTCACTGGTGTCTCCTACTTTTCTTCTAGCCAAGTTTAAAACAAATCAACCTTTATTACAAAACAAGAGACCACTATAGGTAGTCCCTAGTTTTTAATCAAGATTTGTTCCTGGCTATGTCTTCAAGAATTTGTAGGAAAGCTACAGAAGATGTATATGGGCTCTAATGGACCCTATCACTTACACTGCATTCCTACCAACAGGTAAGGAGCCCTGATTAAACACTGTATTTCTAATCAGATACTGTGAACTCATCAGCAGCTGTGTGAGAGGAAAGGACCTAATGATCTCCTACTCCAAGGGTTCCTACTCCTAGGAAATCCTATGGGGCACTTCTACTTTGTCTTATAGGGTTTCTGTGAGTCAAGAGTTGACTTGAGGACTATTAATATAGAGCAGGGCCAGTCCTTGTAGAAGGACATCAAGCTTGAAAAGGTAGATCAGTGGAAAAGGAGGACCCTCAATGAGATGGACTGCCTGACACAAGTGGCTGCAGCAGTGAGCGCAAGTCTGTCATAGATGATGAGGAGGGTACAGGACAGAACAGGGTTCAGATCCATCGTCCATAGAGTTGCCAAGGGTTGTAGCTGACTAGACAGCACCTAGTAATGACTTGTTACTGTTATCTGTACTGCTTTGTTGTATTCAGGAGCCATGACGCATGTCATGGTAACAGTTCCAAGAGACAATCAACAGAGAACATACTAATACCCAACTGAGAAACAATACACAAGATCTGATGCTGCTTCTGAGTCAATAAATACACAAAATAATATGTACACAGAATGTACAATACATTCTAAGGTACAAAAGTGTCCATTAAGACATGTATTATTAATTATATACGTTTTCCATCATCATCATGTATCTAGCAATCCAAATACTCTGCATACAGGAGACTTGAGATAGAGGTGTTGTTAGGTGCCACCGAGCTCACTATGCACAGAAACCCCATGAATAACAGATCTGAACCCTGCCTTACCCTCCACCATCCTCACAACCTCGGATTGCTCAAGCACAGTGACGATCACGGTCAGGCCATCTTGCTGAGGGTCTTGCTCTTCCTCTTGGCCCTCACCTTTTCCCGGTATTATGTCTTTTTCCAAGGACTGGACCTTCCTGACTACCTGACCAAAGGCACAGATTCTCCTGCTATCATCCCTAGCCATCAGTCAACTTTCAGATGCACAGGAAGCAAATGAAAATACCATGGCCTGGATCAGGAATTCAATGCCTCGAATCTATTCTTGAGGTGGTTTTTAATTTCAGGTGGAACAGACAGACTAAAGGTTGTATTTTGATTCTTGTAGACTTATTCTTTCCATTAGCTTCCATTTGAATTTGCCCATGAGTAATTAATAGTCTGTTCTAGCCAGTCTCTTGGACTAAAGCCAAATACTCTTTCCACAGATGTGTTAAATGCTGCCAAGCTGAATACAACTCACAGTGACCCTATGGTCCAAATTTCTGACCCCTATCTTATCTTGTACCATCCTCATCATCTGACACACTTGACATCATTATTGTAGTTACTGTGCCAATCCACCTCACTGAGGGTCTTCCTCTCTTCTGCTGACCCTCCACCTTTCCAAGCATGATGTCCCTCGCCAAGGAATAGCCTCATGCTCAAAGGATGAGATGAAGCTTCATGATCCTTGCTTCCAAGGAGCATTCTGGCTGCACCTTCTCCAAGACATAATTGTCTGTTCTTGGATATCCAGCATTCTTCTCCAACATCGCATCTCAAAGGCATCAAGACTTCTTCTGTAATCCTTATTCTTTTATCTCTCAAATGCCTAAGTGACTGAGAAAATCATAGGCTGAATCAAGTGCACTTCAGTCTTCAAACTAACATGATTGTGCCTCAATTTTTGGAGAGGTCTCTGACAATGGTTTCTCAAGGGTATTGACTGTGGATCAAAGTAAGATAAAACTGCTGACAATTTCAAGTTTTTCCTCTATTGTGGTGTTGCTTAATAGTCCAACTTTCCAAGCATATTGTCAATTTCGAAGTAATAGTCTCTTCTAGGAACAAATTAAAACAAATCCACAAGAACCAAAATAAAATCTTGAGTCTATCCTAAATTTAAAAATCAGCTCCAAAATTGGTTTGAGGCACTGACCATTAACAAGTGAAGATCAGATGATGACCATTAACAAGTGAAGATCAGATGAGTTACAGGATAAAATCAAAGATACCATCCATGAAGAGAACACAGGATTATTAAAAAGAGAAAGGACAAAACAAGGTCAGAAGAGACTGAAAATTACACTAAAGTAAAAACAGAGGAAAGAGATGCAGAAGTAAATGAGATGAATAGACGATTTCAAAGGGCAGCTCAAGAAGAAAAAACAAAGAATCAGAATGGAATGTGCGGAGTTGAAGGCAGGGAATAAAGAGAGAACACATCAGACCTTTCTAAAAGTGAAAGAACTGAAAAACAATTTCAAGGCTTAAGCTACAATATTGAGAAATGCCACTGACAAAATCTTGAATGACCTAAGAGGCATCAAAAGATGATGGGAAAATAGGAAAAGAAGATGGAGGGAATACATAGTCATTATACCAAAAAGAATTAGTTAACACAGAAAAATATCCGGAAGTACCATACGAACAAAAGCCAATGGTAATAAAGGACGACCATCACGCTGAACTAAAAGCATTGGCAAAATATAAGACCCCAGGACATGTCTGAATATCAATGGACATGTTTAAATAAGAAATGCAGCCCTAGATGTGCTCAACAGCCACATTAAGAATTTGAAACCAAGAGTACCCTGCATAAAAAAGGAAAATTAACAAAAAGAACTGATGGTACTAAAAAAGTACATCCATGTTGCACTGGAGGAACTCGTAAAAAGTAGGGCCTGAGGAGAATGCATTAATACTCAGAAAATGCACTATCTAGCCTACTTTTCTGCAACTGTTACCTGAGTAGAGAATATTTAGACTAAAATGGAAATATTTAAAAGTGCAAAGGTCACGCACCTTCATTTAGGGCATCAATGGCAGCCACTTTCTTCTCATTGGCCTCATCCATCATCTCTTCCGTTATCTAGGAAGAAATTGAAGGTCAACTTAGAAAACAAAGAAAGTAGCGTGGAGCTATTTGTATATAAGGGAGTCACACTTCTACTTTTATTGCTTTATCCTCGCCCGCGTCTCCAGAGAACATTATAATTATTCCCTTTGATCCTTGGAAACTTGAGTGGTAAAGAAAATCCATAAAATAAGACAATAATTATAATAAGTTCTAGTAAGGACTCAACACATCACAACAATATTCATGATATATTGGTCTGTAATTTTCTTTCTTGGTAATATCTTAACAACTACTAAGGAACTATATACACCAAACCAAACACTTTGATGGTAACCAAACTAAACACTTCCTGCATTCTTTTCTTTCCATTTAAAGGATTTTATTGTGTAGTATATATCATGTATTCCAAGCACGTACATTTATATAATTGTGAAATAAGATTATCAAGGTCAAAATTTTTATCATTTGCTTCTTGTTTCAACAATGACTTCATTTTTCTTGTTAAAAATATTGCATGGCACACCTGAGCTAAAGAATGCATTCTGTTAAGGACTGGAATATTCTTCATTCACCCAGTTACCTAAGGATGAACTTTTAGTTCATTGTAACAGTAGTTGTGGTCCTCCTGGTTTCTTGACAATCATCCTTTGACAAATTTTTGGAAATCATTTATCATGATGGCTTACATGTCTTCAGTGTTCAGGCTTTGTTGCATCTTGACAAGCAGGCTGCCCCGTGCAATGACACACAACAAACACAATGCTCCATGCAGAAAAGCACTTCCTGCATTCTGCTCTAGGCTGTTTCAGACCCTAAACCCAGAACCCATAATCTGTCGAAAGCCTGCTATTAAAGCCTGACTGTATTGAGCCTTGTCACGAAGTTCAGAAGCTACAATGAATCCTCTATGCCTTCTCTGAGCTTTCAAACTGAAAATTAGTCATAACATTGCCACTTACCCAGTGATATAGTATCTTCTCAATAAAAGAAAACTTAATTAACATTTGCATAGAAGATGACAACTTGTCTAAAGACGACATTCTTAGAATAAACAAGATATTAACAAAGGGTCATTTCCATAGAAGCTGACACTTGTTCAAAGTGAAACAGCCTTGATTATCTCTACAAGAATCTAGTGTTGGAAAACTTTCCTGACTCTGAAACTGTAACAAAGAAGATTGTACCAATGGTTATTTTAATGTCATTTAATAGTTTCAGCAATTCATGGGGGGAAAGCCTTAAATGACTTTTTTATTTATATATACAACTGCTTCTTTAACAAACTAATATGTCTCCCTAGTCATTGTCCAGCTCTCTGACACTTAGCAAGTGACTGCAAAGTCCCTGGCCTGTATCAGGCAGGTGCACCTTAGTCTCCAGACAGTGTTGCTCTTCTGGAGAGGTCTCTATCAGCAGACTTTCCCATTGTAATATGTCTTTCAATTTCCTGGCTGCTGGTGCCAAGAGTGTTGATTGTAGAGCCAAGCAAACTAAAGCTGTTAACAATCTCAATCTCTTCACCATCTATCATGATGATGCCAAGTGGCCCAATGGTGAGAATCTTTGTTTTCTTGATATTGAACCTCAATCCATATTGAAGGCTACAGTCCTCGACCTTCTGCAGCAAGTGCTTCAGGTCCTCCTCAGTTTCAGCAAACAGGTTTGTGTCATCTGCATAATGCAGACTGTTGACGAACCTTCCTCCAATCGTGATGCCACATTTCTCCTCATACAGCCCAGCCTCCTGGATAATCTGTTCTACATACAGGTTGAAAGGGTAGACAGGACAGATTCCTGGCGTACACCCTTCCCAATCTTGAACCAAGCAGTGTTTCCTTGCTCTATTCTGACAACTGCCTCCTCATCCAAGTATAGGTTTTGCATTAACATGATCAAGTGTTCTGGAATTTCCATTCTACTCAGAGTTAGTCACAGTTTGTTGTGATCCACAGAGTCAAATGCCTTTGCATAATCAATGAAACACAGACATTCCTCTGGTACTCCTGCTTTCAGTCAAGATTTAACTAAGATTAGCTATAATATCCCTAGTACCAAGACCCTGCGTTTGTGTCTCTTATAAAATGTATTTGCAATGAGTAAGTCATTGATTTTACAAAATTCAATCATTCTATCTCCAGCTTCATTCCTGTCACCAAGCCCATGTTTTCCGACTACTGATTCTTCTTTACTGTTCCCAACTTTTGCATTCCAGTCACCCATTATTATCAATGCATCTTGATTGCAAGTTCAATCTATCTCTGACTGTAAAAGTTGGTAGAAATCATCTATTTCCTCTTCTTTGGCTCTGGTTGTTGGTGCATATATCTGAATGATAGTGGTATTCACTGGACTTCCTTGTAGGCATATGGATATAATCCTGAAGACTTAAGACTCTCAGGACTGGGATCCGCGTGACTGAGATGCTTCCAGGCGGTGGGCACGGACGGCTGTGGACAGGTCGAGAGCTGGCCCGATGCTCCTGGGCCACTCCTCACACCACAGTAAGACGGCGCTGCCCCTCAGGCCGGTTTGGATGCTGCCTCCTCACCCTACAGCCGGACTGCCGCCCTTATTACTGGTGCTGCCAAGCCTGGGTCCAACCTGCTTGTTCACTATTATGGGGGACTCCCTGCTCAACCCTGGGGGCTTTCTCCTTCTGATCTACCCAGAGCTCACAGGACCCATCACCCTGCCCTACTTCCTGAGGGCTCCAGGGCCCCATCAACTTCTCAGCCTGGACGGGCCATCTGAGGGGTACAGTCTCCCGCAGGACCCACAGGTACCTCTGTAGGGCCACACACGCAGGCCTGAGGAGAGCAGAATGGGCCTGTCAGGTCTCCTCATGCATCTGCTGTAAGGTGCTCAAAGAGGGTTTCTTATAGGCTCAACTTTTTGCCCCAGTACTGTGCGTTATTAATCTCTACTTGTCGTGCACGTCTGACTTATTCATTGCAAATACATTTTATAAGAGACACAAACGCAGGTTATACACATGGACTTCACCTGATGGTATGCATAGGAATCAGATCGA